AGCTATGGTCCGTGGATCACAGGAGCATCTCCTAGGAAGGACCAGCTGACTATGAAAATGCCACTGCGGGCCAGCTCCCAGCTCGGCCAAACTCTGTCCTGGCTTTCTCTGCTGGTAAGTGAAGGGCAGCCCCATCCCTACCCGTTCGCGTGCAGCCCCTGCCAGTAGGGCCGTGGGAAGACCACCTTCAGGGGCATCATACGAACCATCACCCCTGCAGGGACACCTCGCACAGCATCTCCAGCCAAGCAGGACAGAGCTCCAGATGCACCAGGGGTGCGGGGAAACTCGGCCTCCTGCCTGGGGTTAGATCTGGCCAGACCCACAGGACAACAGGACCCCGGAGAGAGCTGGGCAAATACCATGTTCCTGCCTCCTCCAGGGCCCTGGTCTCCACAGTTCCCCTCTCCAAGGCCTGCCCAGAGTTATAGCATGCCGGGCTGCCATGGATGCATGTGGCCTTTTCTGGCCCTGGGGGTCTATTCAGGCGAGCACGTGGGAAGGTGCCAGCACAGAACTGAGGAAATCCGAGTTTGAGTCCTGACGCTGGGCACTCGAAGCAGCTTCCACCAAGCCGGGCCATCCGTTATGGCTGCTGCGCCCCAATGCATCCATTACGGCTGGGATGAAGCCGCCTGCACCTTCCTCATTAGAGAGGGGTCAGCACCTCCCCGGGAGCCCCTTCAACTCCATCTCCGAGCAAGACAAAGTGCCTGGGAAGCGGGACAGGGGAGGGTGGGGGCAGCCCGGGAAAGGCAGCCTGCCGTGGGGCTGGAGGGGGAGAGCAGCTGTCGGTTATTTGAAGCAGTGCGGGGCTGTTGAAAGCTCCCGTCGTGCAAGAGCCCTGGTCCCACCCCACTCCTGTCAGGTCCCACGGTGCCAGGAAGGGGCCAACTCAAGGAGACAATGGGTCAGGGCCAGAGGCAGGAATAAATGCCCAAACCTGCTGCTCCCCTGCCCCAGGCTTTAGCACCCTCTGTGTGTTCCCCAGAGCCCCCCAGGCTGCAACACCAGCCCTGCAGAGGCAGAGGGGACAGCTGGGGATGCAACCACCAAAGCCCAGGCAGGGAGGGCAGAAGTAGCTCGGGCAGCAACACACCAGCGATCCAGCCCTGGGCCTGGAAAGGCTGAGGGGCTGCATCTGGCCTGGCCAAGGGCAAGCACAGCAGCTCCCAAGCCAGCTGCTGCTGGACAGAGGGACACCAGGGCACCCTGGCCTCCTCCAGCCCGACAGATCCAGCCCAGGCCCCCAGGAACCACTTCACCCACTGCCCTCCCCACCAGAGACTTGGCTGAGCAGGAGGACAGTCGACTAGAGGTGCGTGAACCCAAGAAGGAGCGTGATGAGCTCTGACAGGCCCCAGCGGTGCCGGGGTAATTGGCTCTTCCCCAGGGGAGTTGGAGCCACCACTGGCACGATGCCCTGAGCTGGGCTGGCGACCTGCAGTCTAGTAATGTGGCAGCAAGGGGTGGGCTTCCCTCCCTCCCACCTCCTTCCAGCCAGCTCTTTCCATGTTCACACGGGGAGTATGGGGTGGGGAGGTGGCACAAACCCTCAGGGCTCTGCTGAACTCAGGATGGAGACCCCCGTGCGAAGGGCACAAGAGGCAGGGAGCAGAGATCCCTGACACTGCCCACTTGAGCGCACATGCCCATCTCTGCGCCTGGGGCAAGCAGGGCCGTGCACCAGAACCAGGGGCTCCAGGGAGCGTGGCTGGACGACGACCCAGAGTCAGGGGGAGCCCAACTGCTCTGCCCTCTCGAGCACTGTCCCAAGCCCAGCTGGCTGCTGCTGCCCCCAAGCACATCCAGCCCAGCTGCAGGCTGGTGGGAGGCAGAGGAAGCCAAAGATGGAGTCTGCCCCCCATGCCCACCTTCCCAGGTCAGAGCACTGGGTCAGGGCTGGGGGGGCAGCATCAGCAGGCAAGCTGTCCCCCCTTCTCAGACCTTAGAGAAAGCACGCAGCTCCTGCTGGACCATGAGGCTGGCCTCGCGCTGGCATGCGGGCACAGCTAGGGCCATCGATATGCCAATCCATAAGGCCACAGCTTTCCCTGCCCTCCTCCCCCTTGTGCCCAGAGAGCAGCCGCAGCCACCAGCCACTGCGCAGAATGCAGGGACCTGGCGGGCATAGCGGTACCCGCCAGAAGACACCTCCCAACAGGAGACAACAGGCCCTATTACTGCTGGCAGTCACTGGTTATCACCCCTTCAGCTCCAGCAAGGAGAAAGCAAAGTGCATGAGTGCCAGCCCTGCTTCCACAGCTGTGCTGCAGCCAGGGGCCCTCCCACTCCCTGTGCCTCAGTTTCCCCATCCACAGATCTTTCAGGTCCTTGGAGAGCCTCAGATCTAGCCCCACCTTTGGAGTGGCCTCGAGGGGCTGCTTGGGGGCCCAGCACTGGCACCCACCTGCCACCCCAAAGCAGGCAGCAAGGTGCATGCCAAAGCCACCACCAGGACAGGGAGGAACCCTCAATAGCCACCGAACCCGTTCTCCCCCACCGAACCGGGCCTCCTCCCCCGGCACCCTCTCGCAGCCTTCCCATCTTAGTGTCTTTTACCTGCAGCACCCACCGTGCTCCATTTGCTCTGCTGTTGCCTCCCCAGGCCTGAAATCAGGAGGGCCCAGCCCCAGCCATGCAGAAGACACGACCCTTAGGCACCAGCCCCCCTCACCCTCTCCCCTTTTATAGACGTTTCCCACCCAGAGGTCCGCCTTTTCGGGTGGAGTTTGGAGCCGTCCCCCCAATAGGAACCGAGAACAGGGGAATGCTTTGAGCCTATTGGCTAGAAGGGCAGGAAACTCCGCTCCCTGCCTTTAAAAGTCACAGGAGGGGCTGAGCATTGGGCTTGCAGTTCTGGGAAGCAAGCAGTGGGGTTGGTAGCTCTGCAAGGATCAAGCCCAGCCCAGCCCAGCCCAAGTTTTCCCTGTGTTCACAGCACCATGTGTAGCCCCTTGGGTTTTGATGCAAAAGCACCCACCCACACAAATGCCTTTAAGCAGGAGTCAGGGATGGGGTCTGTAGCCTGAGAGCCCAGAACTGGCTGGACAGCAGATCTCTTTGGTGCCCACATCTGGCTGTATGGGGCTGGCGACTCTATGGGGTTTGGGGGAAGCAGGATTCCCCAGCTGGCTTTCAAATGACTGGCAGCTGTCTGTCCATCTGCTGCTGTTTTGGTGTTTCCCCTCACAGCAGGGCCCCTCCCTGAGTCCCAGAGGCAGGGAACAGCAGGGCTATAGCACCCACCTCCACCCTGGCACAGCAAAGGCGGTCCAGGTCTCGCAGCATCCCTGTGCTGGGAACTAGGTCCGAGTTGCTCAGACCTGCTCTCCGCACACGGACACACACGTGTGTTCAGCTGCACAGACAGCAAGGGGAGAGCTCTCAGGCCATCAGTGAGCATGGATGCGGGTGGTGGAGAGATGTGCAAATGTGAGTTGCTTTGTTGGAGCACCTGGAGCGCAGTCAGGCGGATGGCAGGGCCTGTGCATTTGCGGCTGCAGCTCTGCTCTGCAAAGCACTAGGGTGAGGGGGGTGATGCCCGTAGGCAGGGAAGTCCTGTCCTGAGCCAGCCTCTGCCTTGAGCTGGGAGACCCAGCAAGAGAAGAGAGCGGAGGGCCCTGCTGAAACGCCAGGGCTCCTGCAGGCCAGCTCCAGGCTGGGGCACCGAGCTCAACTGCTCTCAGCCAGGGCTGGGGCCAACCCAGTAGCAACCACTGGCACTACAAAGCAGCGCTGGGTGCTGGCCAAATCAAGCTGGAAAGGAGCCTGCTGGGAGACTCTCCGGGCCTGAGCCTTTGCGCTGCAGGGACATAGCTGCTGGACCAGTTGCATCCCAGCTGCACGTCTCCATCCTTGCTGGTGCTGGACTAGTTTAGGCAGCAGTCCAGGGGACCCAGCTGGGATGCTTGTTGGGGGTGGGGGGGAAGCATTCCCAAGGATGTGGCCCTCCACCCCATGAACCTCACCCTCAAACTCTGCTCTGCTTCCCCACCCTGGAGCAGCTCCCAGCAGCTGGTGTTTCAGTGGCTGCTTGCAGATGGGGCCGTTTTGTGGGGAAGCTTCGTTCTCCATGGGGAGCGACTTAGAAGCAACCCAGTGAGCAGCCCCGCCTGGGCCAAGACTGGTGCTGTCATGGCAGAGGGGTGTAGCCCAGAGCCCAGCAGCAGTAGCTGAGGCCAAGCCTCAGAGGTGCCCGCTTTCTCCTGGTCCCTCCCCAGCTGGGAGGATCCTTTCCACAGTCTCTGCCCTCACAGCAGGAGCTCAATCAAGTCCCTGCAGCTGGCATGGGCAGGGCACGGCCCCTAGCCAGGGTGCAGCCAGCAGCACGAGTGCCCGCAGGAGGGTGCAGGAGGCATCCCCAGACAGGTAGGCATGGTGGGGTGGGGATCAGCGCAGAGCTGCCTCAGCCCACTGGAAGCCACCGTGGCACCCCTGGCCTCCATCCTGAGATGGCCCCAAGCATGCCAAGGCAGGGAAGGCAAGCAAGGCATCTCCGCTCCACAGCTGTCAGACAGGGGCAGTTCATCCTCACCCCACAGCTGAAGGGGAGGCTGGAGGGCATTTCCAGCTTTCCTCCTCCTGCATCTTCTGCCCAGGCCTGGTAATGGGGCATATTATGGCAGCCCCAGCTGCTGGGGGCAGGGCTGCAGGACCAGAGCCTGCTGCGAGGTATCCCTTGGGCAGTGCCCGCTGCATCCAGCTGGGCCCCCAGTACCACCCGCCCCGCTGACACCAATCACCGCGCACAGGAGCCAGGGCCGCACGGCCGCTCGCATCCACACAGAGTGAACTTTTATTTCCAACAAAGAACAGCCTCCGCCCCAGGGGGAGAGAAGGGGACACCGAGGCAGGCAGCCCCCTCCCAGGGCTGGGCCAGGGGCAGGGGGCTGGAGCAATGCCCGGGCTGGCCGGGGAGGCAGGGCTGCCTCGGTCCCCGGCTTCCCCAGGTGCACACAGTGCACTGCGTGACCAAATATCCAGGTATACTGCGCAAGAGTCAGTGGCCGCGGGCCACGATGGAGGGGGCGTGCGCGTGTCCGCGTGCACGTGTGTCCAGGCGTGTGTCCCGTGGGCGGCCGCCGCGGAAGGGAAGAGAAGAAAAAGAAACCCCACGACGAGACGGGAAAGGAGACGGGGGGGGTGCGGTGCCCCCCATGGGACGGGCACAGTCTGACGGGGAGAGAGGCAGGAGCTGCGGTGCCCCTCCAGAGACCAAGAGAGGGGTGCTCCCATCCTCCAAGCTGGGCAGGCGGTGCCCAGCGCCGCTCACACCTCGGTCTGGAAATCACCCTCGGAGACGTCGAGGCTCATGTGGGGCCTGTCCCAGTCGGCGCAGTGCAGCTCCAGCTTCTCCCGCTGCGCGCTGGGCAGGGAGCTCAGCGTCATGGCCTTAAAGGTGCTCCAGCTCCTCTGCTTCTGCTGCTGCAGCTGCTGCTCCTCGGGGCTGGTGACCTCCTGCCAGGGGACAGGGCGCTGGGATGGTGCTGCAGCTAGCAGCACCCCCCAGCTGCCCTGCTCCTGGCTCCCCGGGAAGGCTTGGGGGGAGTCCTGGAGGCAGCCGGGAGAACAGTGGGAGCCCAGAGAGCCAGACTGGCACGGTGGTGGCATGGGAGAGCCAGTACCCAGTGGCTGAAGGAGATGCAAGGCAAAGGGACCAGGGCAGATGTGTGAGCTCACAGGGCCTAAAATGCCAGCAGCATGCACAGGTCCAACATGGGGATGGGGAGACTGGGAGATGCCCCACTGTGGTGATGGTGAGGATGGTGATGAAGAGGAGCAGCCTGGCAGTGGAAGGAGGGGGAGAAGCAGCTGCTCCGTGGCAGGTGAGCAAGGCACAGCAGCTCAGACCACTCCCGGCACCCCACCCCACCCCACCCCACCACCCCAGGTACGCCCCACCTGGGGTCTGGCAGGGAGGATGCTGGCACTTACACTGGATGTGCTCTTTTCCCCGCCGCCCGAGGAGACGCTCCACCGCTTCTCTCTCTGCAGGGGAAGCACCGTGGAGGGCAAAGCCCTGT